CTTTTATAGGGAGATGACATTGAATGACTGAGAACTCAAATGATTTCCAACAAATGTTTAATACATTGTATGATGCAGTGAGGAGTATGGTTCTGGAAATTATTGTATCAAAGATCAAGGTAGTTGTATTTGACAGGGTAAGTGAAGTGAATGACTACAAATTAGACACACATAAAAAATAGCAAATAGATTAATTTGCTTATCCTGATACAATGAGAAAGATGGGAAAATGGAGGAAGAAATTTGAAGACATGTAAATTTTGGTAGAAAGGCAGTGAGGAGTATGGTTCTGGAAATTATTGTATCAAAGATCAAGGTAGTTGTATTTGACAGGGTAAGTGAAGTGAATGACTACAAATTAGACACACATAAAAAATAGCAAATAGATTAATTTGCTTATCCTGATACAATGAGAAAGATGGGAAAATGGAGGAAGAAATTTGAAGACATGTAAATTTTGGTAGAAAGGAAGTGGGTTGTACATGGTCTGTTGCAACAAACAAATGTTTGCCAAATGAAACAAAAATAGCCATGTAAAAGGGTCCTCTGCCCACTTTGTTATATGAAAGTCAGAGTTGGGTATGTCAGGAGAAACAAAAGTAAGCTGAATGCAGTGGGAATGGGGTGTTTAAGAAATGTATGTGGTAAAAATAAAGAATGAAAGGGTGTTGAATGAATGTGGATTGAATACAAACATGAGTGAGCAGTATGAAATAAATAACATGGATGTGGTTTGGTCATACAGAGAGAATTAATGAAATTGAAATTGCAAAACAAATAAGAAATAATGAATGAGCTGTGAGGAAGGGAAAGACCAAGAAAATCATGGTTTGATAGAGTTGATGAGATTCTCAAAAGGAGAGGTAAGGATTTTAAGTAAGGATGGTTTTCAAGGATAGAAAGATATAGAGGGGGTGTAGTGAATGGTATTGGTATAATCTACTTACACCTATGTTTTCTTTTTCTTATGTCATGCCTTTAATTTTTTGGCTTACTATTTGTTACTTTTCTGCACTCTGCATAATGTTGCTTATCCCAAAAGGGAATAGCATAATGGGTATGTAAGTATGTATAACTATATATTTCATACTTAATGTTAAATTTAGATTACATGGACACTTCTTTTATTCTGTTCTTAAATTATTACAGTAGATACCATATGAAAATAATAAGACAGTTTGACATCCTCCAGACTAATATTTTATTCTACAGCAGTTATGTGATACCATGTGAACCAATATATCTCTAGATCAGCTATCTTTTGTCTTTTGGCACTTGTATTTCCTTGGGATTAATTTGAAGGAGAGTACATTGGTTAACTACTTAGGCAAATAGTGGTTGGGGGGAAAGGCAAAAGTATATGGAGCTGCTATTCCCTCTCTTTCTAATATCTCCCTTTTTCTCTTTTACTGAAACCCTTTTTTGTCTTTCCCCATGCTCTCATCAAATCATTAGTGTCAGAGAATAATCTTGCAGCAGAGTTCTTGGTGCTCTCTGAGCTTGGTTATTTGCTTGCAGACATTTCATTATCCAACTAGGTAACATCATCAGTGCACTGATGAAATGTCTGCAAGCAAACAACCAAGCTCCAAGAACTCCAGAGTTCAACCTTGAGTTACAGTATTCTCTTCTATTGGAATAATATTGCAATTAATTAAAATTAATTCTTAAATTGCAATTCCTACTCTAGATGAACAGGGATTCTTTAACTTGGGGGAAAAAAGGCAATTGGGTAAGGCCATGACACAGTGATATGCATGGCATGGAGAAAGTGGATAGGAGAAGTTTTTCTTCCTTTTTCAAAATACTGGGACATAATTGGAATGAAATTTAAAACAAACAAAAAAGAAGTGCTTCTTCATTCACTCTATAATTAATCTGTGGAATTCATTATCATAAGACACTAACTTGGATGGCTTTATAGGAGGGTTGGATAAATTCATGGAGGGCAAGTCTTTCAAGGGCTATTGTCCTTGAAAACTCAATGGTATATCTGGGTTAGGAGCAGCATGCCTATAAATACCAGTTGCAAGAGAGGAGGGGGGTTTGTCTCCATGTCCTCCTTGCAAGCCTCCCAGAGGCATCTGCTTGGCTACTGTGAGGAATAAAATGCCAGGCTAAGATGGGCCTTGGCATAAACCAGCAGGGCTGCTCTTATATGAATATTTTCTGTGTTAGCTGAAACTCAGTAATAGACTTACCACTTTTTTATATTTTTCTTCTATTTCTCCCTTTTTATTCCACATATTATTCTCATTTGGTCATTTACTGCCCATATACCAATAAGTTTATGTAGGAATATTGGATTTCTTCTGTGATTTGTACATCCAAGCAACTGACTTGTCCATTAATTTCTCCTTAACCTACCAGTTGGTGTAGTGGTTAAGGTGTAGGTTTTAGATGAGGGAGACCCAAGTTCTAATCCATCCTCAACCACAAATGCTCACTGGGTGACTTTGGGCCAGTCACTCTTTAGTCAACTTCATAGGTTTGTTGTGGGGAAAAAATAGAAGGAAGGAGTGCGATGTATGCTGTCTTGAGTTCTTAAATAAAAAACAGGATATAAGTCAAATAAACATGACAACCTGAGGCTTGTAGACAAGTAACTTTCTGGGCTTTTTTCTGATAGTCTCTCTACGCTGGACCAAGCTACCACCAGTGTGGACAAACAGCAGGGACCATGTGAGAGAAGTTCCTTACATGAGATACGGGCATTCTGCGGTGCTGATTGATGACACTATCTACATCTGGGGAGGCCGCAATGATACTGAGGGAGCCTGCAATGTATTATATGCCTTTGACGTCAGTAAGTGATGTTGTCCTGCTTCCATAACTTTCACTATCACATGCTTATAAATGTGAATGGGCAGGGAGGACAAACTTTTTATGCCACTTATCTCTTATTGGTGTGATCTTGGTGGAGTAATGATAGCACATAGTTGCAGTTATAATATCAAAGTGAATAAGTAGAGTGTGAAAACTGTAAATGAAAAATAATTGTTAATAATTACATTTATTTATGCTTTTAAATTTTAATTATATACTTTTAAATATTAATATTTTCACATGTAAGCTTTCCTAAATTATGTACCTAAGATCATAGAATCATAGGTTTGGAAGGGACCTTGGAGGTCTTCTAGTCCAACCCTCTGCCCCAAGCAGGAGTCCTCATACCATCTCAGACAAAATGGTTGTGCAATCTTTTCTTGAAAATTTCCAGCAATGGAGCACCCACAACTCCAGGAGGCAAGCTGTTCCACTGCTTAATAGTTCTCACTGTCATGAATTCCTTCTTATTTCCAGGTTGGATCTCCCTCTGACGAGCTTCCACCCATTGCTTCTTGTCCTATCCTCGGGTGCTATGGAGAATAAATCGAAACCCTCTTCCCTGTGGCAGCCCTTCAAGTATTGGAAGACTGCTATCATGGCTCCCCTAAGTCTTCTCTTTGTTAAGCTAAACATACCTAATTCCTTTAGCTGTTCTTCATAGGATTTAGCCTCCAGACCCCTTATCATCTTTGTTGCTTTTCTCTGCACTCTTTCTAGGG